AATAACCCATTTGGACGGCATTTTAATATATGGTTGCCTTTATTGCCTAGCAGTGGGCTCGGCAGAGATATTACATGAGAATATCAATTTGCAGGGACTGAGTCATGATACTTTCTTGACTCTATTCAACAGAACGCAGCTGCAAGGGGAGTAAAAAAAGTAAGGGAAGCAGAGAGAGGAGTTGGCAATGATGTGAAAAACCTTTGTGTCCAGTAAACCAATTTTATTTTCATTTTTCTCTAAATGCCATTCATTATAATATAATTTTTAATGCCATGCAGAGTACAGCATCCTCTGAAACTCTTATGATCAGCTCTTAACCCAGAATGTGAACACCCAAGAGTGAAGTAAGATCCTGTATTGTTCATAAATAGAGGACTTCCTCAGAGAGGCAGGAAAAGCCATTTCTTTCTTTCAAGTCTCAAACAGGGTCAAGAGGGGCAGCCTCTTAATGCTAATGCTGTGGTCAGGACTAGGGCACTTAAGGTATCCATCCACACATGCTGTGTCTCAGATGGCTTAGTCATTCATGACCCAGATCTGTGAGCTTAGTGGCAGTGGTGGGAGTAGGTGGATTTTCATCTTATTTTTATCTGTATCTTAGTAGTATCCGAATAAAAAGTGGCATGAAACACTTTTAGCTTTTCAGAACAAAGAGAACAGGGTATTTAAATATACAGGGCCTCTCAAAAGTATATCTGAGTTAATGACACTCATTGAAGCACCAAGACCAACACTGGATCCATTAATGAACTTGATTTCTTTTTGGTAAATTATGTGCACTGACATCTACACTTCAAGTTTTTCCTTAAGTTTTGATATCCATATAATGTCAGAGAACATAGCTTAAGGTAACAGTATTATTTACACAGAAAAGTAAACAAGTGCACATAATTTTTAAGGCTTCCTTATTATTTTAAATTCAGCAGCTTACTTTTATAAATTCACTCTATACATTGTTTAAGTATTAACAAAAGAAATATTGCATAATTTTCTTTAGCATTTTAAATATCTAAATAACAGAGAGTTTAAGTAACTTTTTTAAATTGTAAAGAATCACAGTCACATTCCACTGAGGCTTCTTGAACCTTGATAATAGGTTCTTCAAAGTGCTAGATGGAATGTGTGATAGAAAAGATCCTCAACATTTGATCTACATATGCTGACCAAGGAACTTAGAGAAGAGTTGAAAAGGAAATCTCAAAACATATTAAATCATATCTAAAAAATACAGGTACATAATTGAGATTTTAGGATAAAAGATACTACTGAGACAGGCTCTTGGAAATAAATGGTAGGGTGAGTCTCATGGGAGATTTCTCTGAGAAGAAAAGTGGAAAACAATATAGAGAGGTTCAAGGCACCTGGTAATGGGCCAAAACAGAAAAAAGGAAGAGGGTGACGGTCTTGGCATCATTAATCAAATTATCCCATGGGGGTCTCCCAGGGCAGTCGTTATAGCAGATCCTGAACCAAACACCCAGGGGACACTTGGTGGTAGCACAGAGATAATAGTTCTGGGAAGGGACTCTGTCCACCAAGGCTCGGGATATTCAGGAATGAGGATTAGTGCCCAAGGAAGGTTATAGGGTCACCTTGGTGAAATTGCAGCCAACATGGGCTCTGAGGAACCTTGAGAAAACTGTGGTCTGAATTATGAAGCAGCACGTCCCCGGAAGCCTGCATATGGGAGGGGTGGATTTGAGCACACAGGGTAGAATTTAAGACCCCACACTCTGGAGCATGACTCCTGGATTCGAATTGTGGCTTTGTCTCCTGCCGGTTGTATCCTCTGGCAAATCATTTTATTTCTCTGGGGTCTCAATTTCCTAATCTAAAAATGTAGATAAAAGTGATACTATCTTATAGACTTGTTATGATGATTAAATAAGTTACTGTATGAAAAGTACTTAGAGTAAGGCTTGAAATATAAGAAGCGCTGTATTAAATGTTAGCCATTGTTATATGACTTCTATACACTTAAATGTTTCATGTTTAGATTGTATTTTCTGTTAAATTAAACTTTTAAATATATTTTAAGGGACTAGAACTTGTTTCACATTCAGATACTTTTGGACTTTTGGAAGTGGGGAAGTGGGAATATGTCCCCTGCTTTACTTGGGACATACTGATATAAGCAACAAGCATATTTACTTAGGTGATATACTACACAGTATGTAATTCAGTAATAAATGAAGCATATCATGAAATAATACATGTTCTGTAGAATTAAGAAGAAAAGAGTAGTTGGTAACAGAATAATCTGAGAAGATTTTGTGGACGAGGTCCAGAGTTTCAAGGGATGGGTAGGACTGAAAGTTAGATCAGATCCCCCCCTCTATTCTAGTAATTTTATGATTCTTAGGGAGCGTTTTTGATGAGGCTATGCATGTGAGTTAAATAGACAAAGCAGGAATGAATGTATATTGACAACGTGATCTACCCTGACAAGAATTCATCTGGGAATAATAGAGGTGGTGTGGATGAACCTTGATAAAGACAATCATATTTATAAGGTCCTCAAAAGTAAGAGGTAAGAAATGGCAAGTCGAAGACAATTATTGAAGAGAAATGACGTGCCCTAGTTTAGATGACTAGATGCCTTTTAAGTCTGCCATGGAGAACAAGTTATTTACCATAAAGTTGTAGAAAGAAGTTTAATTAACAGAACATACTACATAATATCTGAAAGTAAGAAAATTAGCCTGGCAGAGATATGCAGGCAGAATAATGAGGTCTAGCTCACTGCTAGGAAGTTACTGGCTTCAGATCTACTTCCCGTATTAGTTCACATCCTCTTGAACAGGAAGGGAAGCATGAGTCGACAGAGGCAAGCTCACCCATCTCTAAGATTCTGCCCCTTACAGATCGGAGTGTGTCAGATGAAGTTGGAGGATGTGGAGGGATGGGACTCTGGCAGACAAATAAAGCCTATTTACCTTTTTCCTGTGGCCGTGGCCTGAAAGAGCTTTTTTCATCCAATATAGTTTTTTCCTTTGTTTTAAATTATAGGAGGGATAATTTGTGAACTGCAGCACTATAACTGCTTTGTCCAAGCAATGACATATCAAACACAGGTTGCAGCCCAATCATGTTTTCAACCTCCATCTTTCCTGGCCCTCTCTATGCTCCTCCCCTATCTCCCCACCCTGTCTCAATGACATGTCAATAATTGTGCCTGCCTTACTGCTGCCCACTTTAAAGAAAGGCACCCTGGTCAGACCCTGATGGGATAGCCTGAGGGGACTATTTTTGGTACCATGTTAACCCAGCCACCTCGGGTATAGTTAACTGGACAAGGGATGACAGCTAGACTGGAAGGCTAATTCCTACTCATGAGATCCCCAGAGCTCTCTTGAACTCCGAAGGACCTTCCAGGCTCTGTGAGAGATGTCCTTCTGCTTTTCCTGAGGTAGGCTGTCAGCCCTTCCTTGGGATTTCTCATGCAAGTCCCTTGTCCCCATTAGTTGAGGCAACTTGAGAGTCCCTCATCCTTGAAACCAAGGATCTGAAACACCTCTGCCAGCCTTCAAGCGAGTGTCTTTGGCCACAGACAGTTGTCAACTAATATTTGTAGTTTTCTAAGTGGATATAAACAAAAGCTTCTTTCAGAGGTAACTTTACTAGTAAAGGGCATTTTCAGGACTCAAAAAACCTACCAGACTCACCAAAAGAATTTCTAATGGTAGAATTTCAGAAGCAAACCAGATAGCAGGAAGGAATATTTTTGGCAGGGGCTCTGCCTGGATTTCCTTAATCATATATACTTTCCAATGGTAAACGTTGAAAAAACCCTACAGCATGGGATCAAAGTCTTAGCTTTGGGCCCTAGTCCTAGCTCTATTTCTTACTACTTCTTTTAATTGTGGGCAAGCCTCTTACTTCTTTGGATCTCGGTTTTCTAGTTTGCATATTTACTGTCAGAATAAATTTACTATAAGGGCTCTTCCAGCTCTAATATTCTGTGATTCTGTCATATTGCTTCTACTCAACCACAAGAGCAGCCTATACATTCAAGTTCATGAAACAGAGATTCCTTGCAAAAGTGGAATTCTCCAAGTGTTTAGGACATGCATCCCCATGAACTCCCCTGACACCCCTGGAATGGAGAGAGATTCTGCACTATACATTCTGGAAAAAGGAGAGAAAAGTAATACCTGTGTGGGAACTATAAGTACTGTTTTTTTCAAAAGGACAGAGCATATATCTATTAAAAAATATAATTTGTGTTTCCAAATTTCCAGTTGAAAATATTAGAAAAATTAAAAATTAGACTCAAATAAGTTTCAATATCAATAAATTATAGGAAAGAGCACTGTATTTCTCTACTTAAAATATTTACTAGGATAATAATTACAGCTAACATTTATTGAGCACCTAAAATTTGCTAGCAATTATGTTATCCATTCAAAAACTGAAGTTCAAAAGAATCTTATATTATAAAATGCACCACCCTTCTGACAATAATTTTGAGTCTAACCGACCATCACTGTGCTGTGCCCAGACTCTGAACTTGATGTACGCTAGTGTTGCCCCAGACTTGCTTAATAAAAACTGTATTAAAAATAGAAGATAGTCACCAAATATTCCAATATTTCTATCATCATAGAGATGAAATTAGTGAGAATTTCAGAAACAAAAGTGAAATTAGTGAGTCCATATCTCATCATAAATCTCTTTTTTCCAAATTGTTTTTCTGGACATAGTTCAAGTAGAACAACCAATTTATTTATGTCAGCTCTTGCTCTTTTCAATGACCTCTTATTGAGTAATGTATTATATGAAGAGGCTGGTTAGCAAACAATAGCTTGCTACAGAAACACTGACTCAGGCCTTCTGCTAGACATTCACATTGCTCCTTTTCTCTCCCTTGGGAAAAAGACACAAACTTGTTGTAGAAATGACAGCTTCATACCAATGACTGTTCACCCTAAAATCACCTCAAATGTGAAACATGTGTCTGTATTCATGCATACTCACACATTCACTGCTAATCTTACTTGGTAAAATGACTTGTCGCTTCCAGGTCTGTGTCTTGTGGACGAAGGTTATTATACACATATTTCAGGTCTTGGATTCCACTTAGCTCAGGCAATCCTGCATGTAGCATCTTAGCAACACAAGCAAACACACAAACAAAACAAGATAAATAAAACAGAAACAAAAAACCTCAGAATAAATGTAAATCAAATCTCCATCTTGTCTTCTTATTGAAGAGACATATTCAGCATGGGAAAATAGAAGTAATAAGAGCTCTAATGTCAGAATTTCTGGACCCATCATTTAAAATCTAAATGATCTTGAAAAAGTCTCTTAACCTGTTTGCACCTCTATTTTCACATTTTTAAAGTGGATATAAAAATATCCAAAAAAAAAAATCCAACATGTTCTGGGAGAATCAAATGCTAATGACTAAGAAAGAGCTCTATACATATACATTATAACACAAAAATTATATCACAATACCTATTTTCAAGAAGAAAAACTTAATGCCCTAAAATCTGTAAGTGAAGTGTCCAGGTCAAATGGTGTGTAAAGACAGAGAATAAAACTCATCTTTCTGGTTCTTAATCTTAGGCGCCATTCCTTTGCTTTTTATTCTTATGTTCTTTCATGACTCTATGACTCATACTACAAGAACACAATTTTCCCTAGTTAAGCGGTGACTGAATTTACTAAAAGTTATTAAAACAATGAAACAATTAAAGATTAAATTGTACAAAGGCTCAGGTATTTTTTCTGCCAAACTTTGGAAAAATACTTCGCTTAAATTACAGTGTAGATTGAAGGGATAACATTCTCTTTAGTGATAGGCAAACATCTTAGGAAAAAAATAGATCTTTCTGATATAAATTTGAACTCTGAGAAAAAAAAGAAGAATATCATCAGCGTATCTCATGACTAAAATAAATTATTTCCTACTCTGGGAACAGAGGCACTTTTACAGCAGTGGGAAGTTAAGAACAATGCTGTTGATAGTAAAAATAATAGATAAACTGAGAATACAGCAATGGAGGATGGGTGAAGTTGTGATTGACTTAATGAAGTTCAAGTGAGAAAAATGGATTTGAAACTGTTTTCCTTTCCTACTCTTCCCACCCAGGCTGAGGGGATAGCATATATAGGTGGACAGAGGAGAGCAAGATACCTTCCATTTGTTTGCAGAAGAGATCCAGGATAGCTTTCTGGAACATTGGGTATCCTGTGGGTGAGCGACAAGAGATGGGGCCGAAAAGACAAGTAGTGCAGGATGTTTTAGCAATCGGAAAGGTTTTGTACTTTGTCCCAATGGCAAGGAAAGTTCTTTTAGTGTTTTAAAATGAGCATTAAAAGAATGAATTGTGTTCGAGAAAGATCATCATGTTTATATGTGAAAAACAGATGAAAGTGCAGTCAAATAAGAGGCTGGACTAGTAGACTGTTTAGGAATGATGAAAAGTTATTAGATTTTAAATGTACGTAGGAAGTAGAATTGAGAAAACTGGGTGATTGGATATATTTGGAGGGCTGGGTGGGGTCTAAAGCATGAATATAGATTTGGGAGTCATTAGCACACAGATAGTAATTGAAACCATGGGAATGGATTAGGTAGTCCTGGGAAGTTGTCAGCTGTCTTTCCTCATGGATGTCTTTCCAATGGATGATATCAGATTCATGATATCTAAATTTGAGCAAATTTTCTTCTCCCATAAACTCTTCCTCCATTTTCCTGTTTCATATTTCATCGTCATCATTGTCCAAATAACAAGAAATTCATATCTTCTTTGATTCTCTTTTTCTTGATTCCCAATGTCAATCACTTAATTCTATAAAAACCCTCTCAACAGTCTCATGTATTCATTCCCTTTTCCACTGCAATTATTGTCCTAGTTCAGCTTCTCATCTTCATTTGCTTAGATAACTTGAATAGCCCTTTTCTAGTTATTCAATTGCTACCTCTCTAATTACATAATTTCTGAGTTATCTGTCTAAAATCCAAGCTAGATGATGGTACTCCCTTCATCAAAAACAAAGAAACTTCTAGGTTCTCAGGTGACTATATATAAAAGTCCAAAATGTTCATTCTGTTCTAAATACCTTTCTTAATCTACCTGCGATCTATCACTTCAACCTCACCATCTACATAGGTCTCCATCTGTGCCACAGCCTGGGTGCACCTGATTCCCCCCATTTCCCACACATGTCATGCCCACCCTCTTTAAGCCTCCACAGACACATACTTTTCTTTCAGCCAGGATCCCTTTCCTCTCCTTCCTTGTCTATTGAAATTCTTTTTGAAGGCTCATCTCAAATACATCTTCCTCCTTGAAAGCACCACAGATCCTCTTGATAAGATTTTATAACTTGCTTTCTTTGTACAGTAATCCTATTTTGGTTACATGTCTTTCATAGTATTTATTTCTGCCTAGCTTTAACTACATTTTGTCATGTGTATGTTTGTCACATTAGATTTTAAGTTCTTTGAGAACAAAAATTAGGTTTTTATTCCATGTTGAATTGTCTAAATTGTTAATGTGGTGCTTTGTAAGTAGTTAGAACTTAATGAATGTCTGTGAAATAATGAATGCATGAGTGCATGAATGAAAATATATCTGTCAGGCATTTAAAACCTATAGATAGCAAGTTCAACCCCAACTAATAAACTTAAAATCAACCATAGGGAGATACATTGCCAACAGCAACTAGAGTCTAGATTAGGTTTTATCTTATCAGTTCTGTACTTAGAGTTCTAGAGACATGTGTGTATTTATTGTGGCAGTTTCCCCCGTTATCACACTATGACTGTCCATTTACTATGAACAAGCTTCTTCCCTAGATATGAATTGCTTTCTAGTTTCTCTGGATATTCTGAATTCACACCTGCTCATTTAGGACTCTGTCAAACATTTCCTTGGGAAGTAGACCCTATACTTATCCCTTCCTACACACACACACACACACACACACACACACACACACACACACACACTACACACCAGGTGCCAAGTGCAGATGGCTTCAAACCCAAGTTCTCTCCCTTTCATGTGGCTGATTAAAGGTAACAAGTGCTAACTTTGCCCCTGTTGATGTGTTTCATTCCTTAGAGAGGAGGCTTTGAGTGATGTGACTCGGCACATCAGAGTATGGATGGCCTCATACCTGGTCCACTTAGTCAGGTCTGTTCACTGACCCACAGAGATGTGGTTCAAGTGCCTCCCTGGCTTAGATTACATGGGTTATAACTTTAATTGGGGCAATAAGAAAGGGAAAGCGTGGCTAGTACAGATAATAAACAGATACGTTCTTTTTTAAAGGATAGGAACATTAATTTTTTTTTTTTACTTCTGCTTTTCCCCTACTAAGTCCAAATCTATTTTGATAGTTATGCTTAGGGAAGCAGACACTCTTTGCCACCACGTAGAGAAGTTAGAAAGATTTCTGCTGGGAAATATCTGATATAAAAATGGGTGTGATAAACATTTTAAACTGGGTGAATGGTCCCTATGTTCTTTGGGAGCCTTCCATAATAATTTCTATTGATTTTTTAATAAGAGAAAAGCTGATGAAATACAGGCTTTTATGTTAGTGAATTCAGCTAGCAACATTCTTTGTTCTCTACAGATGTTTTGGTTTTAAGCAAGATGGGAATTTCATGGATTATTTTCCCCAGCTTTTCCCAGGAGTAAACAAAAAGGACTGTGAATATGTGGAAACATGCTGCTCTCAACCAAGGCTGAACAATTAACTCCATAGCAGACTCACCAAACACTTGTGGCTCATAATCCTTTGTTAGTGACCATTCATGGAAGGTAGAATTTATGACCCATATCAAGTATTTCTCAAGTTGTAACTAGGTTATGGCACAGTAGATTAACTTCTTTTTAAGTAAGTTAACACAAAAAAAGTTAGTTTGAGAATTGAGGGAAATATAGATTTCCCACATAGGTAGAAAATAATCTTTTGTAAATTTAAATTTGGTTTTTATTTTATAAGAAGCTCTACCAGAGAAGGTGTGGTCTTGAAACCTTTACTGATGCTTTGGTTACCTACAGAATCCCATAGGAAAAAAATGTGAAGAGAAGAGAATCAAGAGGTAAATAACCAGAAAGAGAGATAATAACACACTGCTGTTTTACATATATTTATTCACTGGTCTAATTGGTCCACATTGCTGCTTATCTCTGTTTCAACTTCTGTAAAAGCTTAAATCTAAGATTGTAAGATTAATCTGAATTAGTACCCTTCACTGCCAAAATTTCTTCATTAGCCTAAAAGTCATGCTTGAATAATTAAAACATAGGGAAATTTTTTGCAAACACTATATACCAGAAACCTTCAGCATCTGATTTTAATATTACTTTATAAGAAATTATTTAAATACTTGATTAAAATACCATATATCTACTTCTTTTAAATGAAATAACGTCATACAAACTCTTTAATGACTATTTAATACATTATGACTCACATGCTAGAAGTTTTCTTTTTAGGTAGGTAGAAACATTTATTAAACAAAAGATAAAAGCCCACCAATAGCTTTTAGAATCAATTTTTTCCCAAAAAGCTGTCTTTCACATTATTTTAACATGCTTACTTGTCATTCAGCATAATTTTACTGTCACCTGAGAAAGGGTATGAAACGATATTTTTGCTTTTCTGCTTCGAGTTTATTTTTGAAACGTCTGTCACTGGTTGAAGTTGTTAGAATATGGTACTTACTCCTAGTATGCAGTTATTTATAGCATTTTAGACATTTAGAAATGCTGGATACCTCATCTGCCTGTGTACATGAATTTTACCTTTCTTATTAAATTAAAAATTTTAAGACCGACTGGGTCTCATATGTTAATGTATCCTCCACAGCTTCTGGCACATATTAAGTACTCAAGAGCTCATGGATTCATGAGTTAGACGCTGCTACAGCCCAAAAGGATATTAGAGTTGATAACCACTTGGATATTTATTATGAAATGGAGTCAAGGTCATGGACTCAGTCTTTGTAGGCTTTTACCCTTGTTATGAATGCAGATTATGAACTATAAACCATCTCATAATTGCAATATGACCTAATAGAATTGGGAGATAGAATGAAATTCTACCAATATGAATCACTGGCTGTTACTGGAAAGCCAACTTGAAGACTCTGGAGATGGGCAGGACCTTATATATTCAGTTTACATGTGAAGTGACCACAGTGTCTTTCTAAATGAAGGACTACATGTATATAGTATATTTAGAAATCCATATTTTTCAAGACAGAGAGGAAAGAAGGTGCGGATGTTGTTTGAAAACTGAAACAAGGAACAAAATCAAATCTTTACTGCAACAAGGTCAACATTTATTTAGCACTACCCAATAAAACTTCTCTGCTATGATGGAAATGTTTTATATCTGTGCTGTCCAATATGGTACCATGAGCCAGATGTGGCTATTGAGCACTTGAAATGTGGCTAGTGAGACTTAGAAGCTGAATTTTAAATTTTATTCAATGTTAATTAACTTAAATTTAAATAACCAAGTGATTCGGGGATACTGTATGGACAGTGCTGTTATAGGTTAACAAGGATCGAGTATAATAAATTAATTGGATTCTACTATGTGACAGGTACTGTGCTAAGTGTTTATATTAATTATCTAATAGGGTTATTATGAAATGTAAATCAGTTAATACACATAAAGCACTTAGCATAATGCTCATGCACAGGATTCACTATTAGGTCATTTATCAGTCCTACAAGGCAGATGCTATTACCTTCAGTTAATAGACGAGGAAACATGAGTCCTACTGGAGTTAAGTAACATACCTGAGGAATGTAGCTAGTATAATGCCAAGCTAGAATTCAAACCCAGGAAGGCCCTGCACCAAGTCTGTGCCCTTAACAGCATCTAGTAGAATTGTCATCTGAAGGCTCTAAACCAGTTATTTTTGATGACTTTATTGACTCCAAACACCATGCTGATTCAAAAAAGATGTATTTCTCTACTACAATTTGCTGCAATTACTAGTGTATGTATGTGTCCAAAGGAACCACCACATTTTTCTCCCAGTAGATATGTCTATTAGATCCTTCTCCTCTCACCCTGACTATCTGGTCTGTCCACTGGACAGTGGAAGGAAACATTAAAAAGTCCCCTGTTGTATGGTCACATTATCTTTAATAAAGGAGGCAAGAATATACAATGGAGAAAAGACAGCCTATTCAATAAGTGGTGCTGGGAAAACTGGACAGGTACATGTAAAAGTATGAACTTAGAACACTCCCTAACACCATACACAAAAATAAACTCAAAATGGATTAAAGACCTAAATGTAAGGCCAGAAACTATCAAACTCTTGGAGGGAAACATAGGGAGAACACTCTATGACATAAATCACAGCAAGATCCTTTTTGACCCACCTCCTACAGAAATGGAAATAAAAACAAAAATAAACAAATGGGACCTAATGAAACTTCAAAGATTTTGCACAGCAAAGGAAACCATAAACAAGACCAAAAGACAACCCTCAGAATGGGAGAAAATATTTGCAAATGAAGCAACTGACAAAGGATTAATCTCCAAAATTTACAAGCAGCTCAATATCAAAAAAACAAACAACCCAATCCAAAAATGGGCAGAAGACCTAAATAGACACTTCTCCAAAGAAGATATACAGAGTGCCAAAAAACACATGAAAGAATGCTCAACATCATTAATCATTAGAGAAATGCAAATCAAAACTACAATGAGATATCATCTCACACCAGTCAGAATGGCCATCATCAAAAAATCTAGAAACAATAAATGCTGGAGAGGGTGTGGAGAAAAGGGAACACTCTTGCACTGTGGGTGGAAATGTAAATTGATACAGCCACTATGGAGAACAGTATGGAGGTTCCTTAAAAAACTAAAAATAGAACTACCATACGACCCAGCAATCCCACTACTGGGCATATACCCTTAGAAAACCAGAACTCACAAAGAGTCATGGGGCTTCCCTGGTGGCGCAGTGGTTGAGAGTCCACCTGCCGATGCAGGGGACACGGATTCGTGCCCCGGTCCGGGAAGATCCCACATGCCGCGGAGCGGCTGATCCCGTGAGCCATGGCCGCTGAGCCTGCGCGTCCGGAGCCTGTGCTCCGCAACGGGAGAGGCCACAGCAGTGAGAGGCCCACGTACCGCAAAAAAAAAAAAAAAAAGAGTCGTGTACCAAAATGTTCATTGCAGCTCTATTTACAATAGCCAGGACATGGAAGCAACCTAAGTGTCCATCAACAGATGAATGGATAAAGAAGATGTAGCACATATATACAATGGAATATTACTCAGCCATAAAAAGAAACGAAATTGAGTTATTTGTAGTGAGGTGGATGGACCTAGAGTCTGTCATACAGAGTGAAGTAAGTCAGAAAGAGAAAAACAAATACCGTATGCTAACACATATGTATGGAATCTAAGAAAAAAGAAAAAGAGTCATGAAGAACCTAGGGGCAAGACAGGAATAAAGACACAGACCTACTAGAGAATGGATTTGAGGATATGGGGAGGGGGAAGGGTAAGCTGTGACAAAGTGGCACGGACATATATACACTACCAAACGTAAAATAGATAGCTAGTGGGAAGCAGCCGCATAGCACAGGGAGATCAACTCGGCGCTTTGTGACCATCTAGAGGGATGGGATAAGGAGGGTGGGAGGGAGGGAGACGCAAGAGGGAAGAGATATGGGAACATATGTATATGTATAACTGATTCACTTTGTTATAAAGCAGAAACTAACACACCATTGTACAGCAATTATACTCCAATAAAGATGCTAAAAAAAAAAAATTCCCCTGTTGGTCAACAGAGAGTACCCAGGACCATGACTCAGTAGACTCAATGTAGTAAATGTACCACCCTCGAGTCAAGTTGCTAGGAAGTCACCTTACATTTTTGGCTCTCAGTTTCTTAATCTGGAAAATAAGCAAGTGATCAAAGGCAGAGATTGGGAGGGAAACCAGAAAAAATCCTTGCTTGTTCTACATCATTGGGTTGCCATAATGTGAAAATGAGACAGTATTTTAAAAATACTTTTGAAAAAATTCTAAAGCACAGTACAATTGGTATAATATTCTAAATTACTGTCCTTGACCTTTAATCAAAGTACTGAGATAACCCCTGAATACATCAATATTATTGTGAAGAGAAAGGTTTGAGACAATAACTGTGAACAAATGTTATGAATTATTAAGAAATGTATTTATAAGCTGTACCATGGTGCTTTTAGTTTGTTCATTCCATTCTGTTTTGAATAGCTCTTTGGGGAACTCCAAGCCATTAGGAAAGATAGACTACTGAAAGAGAGCCATAAAAGAAGCTTATTATTTCTGTTATTTCCCCAAGGGACTTACCATTTCTAGCAGGTTTAAGAGCAGGCGGCTGTGTCTTCTGACAATATTATAAGCTCGACAGCAAAGCTCCACAAAATCTTGGAAATGCTGTGGGTTTTTCCCACCCTCTGTAATAAAGTACTCCATCTCTGAAGTAAAAATAAAAGGGGCTCTGTCCCTATAAACCAAAAAACAACACCAACCATAAGCAGGAAGAGAAATGGTTTGAAGGGTTATATTAGGCAGTGACAACAACTTATTTCCATTTGAAATTTTTTGTTATATTCTAATGCATGAACCTCCTTCATTGTAGGACAGCTGGAGAAACTTGCTAACTGTAGACTTTGAATAATGTAGCTGAACTGCAACAGAGAAGGAAGGGTAAGTTATTTTACAAAGTTGACCTATATTGGCTTAAATAGTTAATTCCAAGTTATATTTGATGTGAATATTATTCATTAAAATTAATTTAAGGCCAAATTAATAATTAAGGTGATTTTACAGAAAGTATATTTACTGCTAAATTTTTAAATGATAGAACAGATCATTTATTTAACCTCATGGTGCTTTTTTTTTTTTTTTTAAAAAACCTTTCTCTTTCCCTTAGATGGTATACTGACCCTTTAGGTAAAAAGTTTCAGGCAAAAGCTAAGATATAGTGGGCCAACATCAGTCCCGGGATCCCCCTTTTGGGCCCCACAGCCAGCCACCACTGGGACCCTGTCCTGCCCACCAGTGGGTTGGCAGCCTCCTCTTGAGCCAGAGCTGGACAGCCAACCAGATGCGGGCCAGCCCTGACTACCTGTGCACCCACAGTAGTCTGCCTCATCACAACAGAAGGGCCCACTCAGCCCACATAAAGGGCACCCCTAGAGCATACAGCTCTGCCGACCAGAGGGTAGTGTGCTGTTGGGCCCCATAGGACATCTCCTACATAAGGCCATTTCTCCAAGGTCAGGAAACATAACTGACTTGCCTAATACTTAGAAATAAACAGAGAATTAGGCAAAATGAGGAGACAAAGAAATATGTTCCAAAGAAGGAACAAAACCCCAGAAGAACTTTGGAAGTGGAGATAAGCAATCTATCCCATAAAGAGTTCAAGGTAGATTGTACAAATGCTCAACAAATTGGGGAGCATTATTTACAATAGCCCAGATATGGAAGCAACCTAAGTGTCTATCGATAGATGAATGGATAAAGAAGACGTGGTGTATATATAACGGAATATTATTCAACCATAAAAAATAATGAAATCTTTCCATTTGCAACAACATGGATGGACCTAGAGGATATTACACTAAATGAAATGTATCAGACAGAGAGAGACATATATACCACATGGTTTCACTCACATGTAGCATTTAAAAAACAAAACAAACAAACATAGCAAAACAGAAACAGACTCAGAGAACAAAGTGGTGGTTGCCAGAGGGGAGGGAGGTGGGGGGATTAGTGAAATAGGTGAGGGAAATTAAGAGTTACAAACTTCTTGTTATAAAATAAATAACTCACAGGGATGTAATGTATAGCATAGAGAATACAGTCAATAATATTGTAATAATTCTGTATGGTGACAGATGGTAACTAGACTTATCATGGTGACCATTTTGTAATGTATAAAATATTGAATCACTATGTTCTACAGCTGAAACTAATTATGATGCTGTAAGTCAGTTATAGTTCCAAAAAAAAAAAGAAAAGCTAAGATATGTAATGACAGGTTCTTTCAGAAGGTAATCTGAAAAAACAGATGTTACCAACTTACTGTGATATGCTTAGTAAGGGAAAAAAGAGGTAACTATATTTCATTTCTGGAAAAACAGAAAAACAAAGGACCAGAAAGAAGGACCAGAAGATCCTGTTTTCCCTATATTTGTCAGTTTTTTCTCATGTTATTTGAAACACGAAGAGACCTGAGATGAAGTGTTAGTGCTTCTAATAGCGAGAGCAGAGAGAAGGCTGCTCACCCGCTCTGTGATGAGGTCTCCCTAACTGAATAAGAGCAAGGATGAGACAGAGTTTCATTACTGATTTGGCTAAAGGTCAACTAGAACAGCAGTCCCCAACCTTTTTGGCACCAGGGACCAGTTTCATGGAAGAGAATTTTTCCACGGACCAGGGTGGGAGGGTGTGGTGGTGGTGGGAGGGGATGGTTTTGGGATGATTCAAGTGCATTACATTTACTGTGCACTTTATTTCTATTATTATTACATTGTAATATATAATGAAATAATTATACAACTCACCATAATGCAGAATCATTGGGAGCCCTGAGTTTGCTTTCACTTGCCACTCACTGATAGGGTCTGCAAGCAATTGATTGATTATGGTCTCTGTGCAGGCAAACCTGTCTGCTAATGATAATCTGTATTTGCAGCCACTCCCCAGCGCTAGCATCACTGCCTCAGCTCCACCTCAGATCATCAGGCATTAATTCTCATAAGAAGCACGCAACCTAGATCCCTTGCATGCACAGTTCACAGTAGGGTTTGCCCTCCTATGAGAAACTAATGCCATCTCTGATCTGACAGGAGGCAGAGCTCAGGCGGTAATGAGAGCAAAATACAGATGAAGCTTTGCTCGCTCCCCCGTCGCTCACCTCCTGCTGTGCAGCCCGGCTCCTAACAGGCCACCGACTGGTACCGGTCTGTAGCCTGGGGGTGGGGACCCCTGATCTAGAAGCATTTGAAATGCGAATACAGTTTTGAGTAAAATGTTGTTAAAAACAAAGATTTTTGTTTTTTTACATCTTTATTGGAGTATAATTGCTTTACAATAGTGTGTTAGTTTTTGCTTTATAACAAAGTGAATCAGTTATACATATACATATGTTCCCATATCTCTTCCTTCTTGCGTCTCCCTCCCTCCCACCCTCCCTATCCCACCCCTCTAGGTGGTCACAAAGCACCGAGTTGATCTCCCTGTGCTGTGTGGCTGCTTCCCACTAGCTATCTATTTTAGGTTTGGTAGTGTATATATGTCCATGCCATTCTCCCACTTTGTCACAGCTTACCCTTCCCCCTCCCCATATCCTTAAGTCCATTCTCTAGTAGGTCTGCGTCTTTATTCCCGTCTTGCCCCTAGGTTCTTCATGACCTTTTCTCTTTTTTCTTAGATTCTATATATATGTGTTAGCATACGGTATTTGTTTTTCTCTTTCTGACTTACTTCACTCTGTATGACAGACTCTAGGTCCATCCACCTCACTACAAATAACTCAATTTCGTTTCTTTTTATGGCTGAGTAATATTCCATTGTATATATGTGCCACATTTTCTTTATCCATTCATCCGATTATGGACACTTAGGTTGTTTCCATCTTCTGGCTATTGTAAATAGAGCTGCAATGAACTTTTGGTACATGACTCTTTTTGAATTATGGTTTTCTCAGGGTATATGCCCAGCAGTGGGATTGCTGGGTCATATGGTAGTTCTGTTTATAGTTTTTTAAGGAACCTCCATACTGTTCTCCATAGTGGCTGTACCAATTAACATTCCCACCAGCAGTGCAAGAGTGTTCCCTTTTCTCCACACCCTCTCCAGCATTTATTGTTTCTAGATTTTTTGATGATGGCCATTCTGACCGGTGTGAGATGATATCTCATTGCAGTTTTCATTTGCATTTCTCTAATGATTAACGATGTTGAGCATTCTTTCATGTGTTTGTTGGCACTCTGTATATCTTCTTTGGAGAAATGTCTATTTAGGTCTTCTGCCCATTTTTGGATTGGTCTGTTTGTTTTTTTGTTATTGAGCTGCATGAGCTGCTTGTAAATTTTGGAGATTAATCCTTTGTCAGTTGCTTCATTTGCAAATATTTTCTCCCATTCTGAGGGTTGTCTTTTGGTCTTGTTTATGGTTTCCTTTGCTGTGCAAAAGCTTTGAAGTTTCATTAGGTTTATTTTTGTTTTTATTTCCATTTCTCTAGGAGGTGGGTCAAAAAGGATCTTCCTGTGATTTATGTCATAGAGTGTTCTGCCTACGTTTTCCTCTAAGAGTTTGATAGTTTCTGGCCTTACATTTAGGTTTTTAATCCATTTTGAGCTTATTTTTGTGTATGGTGTTAGGGAGTGTTCTAATCTCATACTTTTACATGTACCTGTCCAGTTTTCCCAATACCACTTATTGAAGAGGCTGTCCTTTCTCCACTGTATATTCCTGCCTCCTTTATCAAAGATAAGGTGACCATATGTGCATGGCTTTATCTCTGGGCCTTCTATCCTGTTCCATTGATCTATATTTCTGTTTTTGTGCCACTACCATACTGCCTTGATTACTGTAGCTCTGTAATATAGTCTGAAGTCAAGGAGCCTGATTCCTCCAGTTCCATTTTTCGTTCTCAAGATTGCTTTGGCTATTCGGGGTCTTTTGTGTTTCCATACAAATTGTGAATTTTTTTGTTCTAGTTCTGTGAAAAATGCCAGTGGTAGTTTGATAGGGATTGCATTGAATCTGTAGATTGCTTTGGGTAGTAGAGTCATTTTCACAATGTTGATTCTTCCAATCCAAGAACATGGTATATATCTCCATCTATTTGTATCATCTTTAATTTCTTTCAGCAGTGTCTTATAATTTTCTGCATACAGATCTTTTGTCTCCTTAGGTAGGTTTATTCCTAGATATTTTATTCTTTTTGTTGCAATGGTAAATGGGAGTGTTTTCTTGATTTCACTTTCAGATTTTTCATCAATAGTGTATAGGAATGCCAGAGATTTCTGTGCATTAATTTTGTATCCTGCTACTTTACCAAATTCATTGATTAGCTCTAGTAGTTTTCTGGTAGCATCTTTAGGATTCTCTATGTATAGTATCATGTGGTCTGCAAACAGTGACACCTTTACTTCTTCTTTTCCAATTTGGATTCCTTTTATTTCCTTTTTTTCTCTGATTGCTGTGGCTAAAACTTCCAAAACTATGTTGAACAAGAGTGGTGAGAGTGGGCAACCTTGTCTTGTTCCTGATCTTAGTGGAAATGCTTTCAGTTTTTCACCATTGAGGATGACGTTGGCTGTGGGTTTGTCATATATGACCTTTATTATGTTGAAGTAAGTTCCCTCTATGCCTACTTTCTGGAGGGTTTTTATCATAAATGGGTGTTGAATTTTGTCGAAAGCTTTCTCTGCATCTATTGAGATGACCATATGGTTTTTCTCCTTCAATTATTAATATGGTGTA